TAATTTAATATGCATTGTGAATGTATATCCCATCTTACTTTTTTTAATATTATGGACCAAACTGCTGCCTTTTATTGGAGGCTTTCATTAGTGTTGAAAACATTAAGAACAGCACAGCAATTTGAGCTTTGCTCATATTACTGAGTTTCCATTGTGCTGTATTGTTACCATTGATGATGATTATGATATAGGATGCTTAGATGTTACATAATTTGAAATGCCTATATGTAACTCTGCATGACACAAAAGAAAGAGGCTCCATCATTGATAACACTTAGGCAAAAGAAAGATAATTTCATTTGCTGTTTTTTTTCTCTAGATGGGTTCAGCTTTGTTTAATTTACTGCAAATACAAGCATCCGAATTCCAAACTGAAGTCATGGAGCCCTAAGATACACCGTTACAGGTTGTCATCTATCTTGTCTTGATCTTGTGAAAGGCCTCAACTTCAGTTTATGTTTCCAGGATTTTTAAAACACTTTCCCTTGTTTGCTTTACAAATTACTAGTTATTAAATCCACACATTTGGAGACTGACTTTGAGGTCGTTGATTAATTTTCAGATTATGGTTCTTTCTCTTAGTTTCAGTAAATTATTCACACAATTTAATGTTGGCAAAAGATATATTAGCTTCATCCTGTGTCGGCCAATGAAGAAAAGGCTACCCTAAAGGGTCACTTTATGTTGGGGGGTGTGGGTGTCCATGCGTGTGGGTGTGCATGCGTGTGTGCGTGTTTGTGTGTGAAAAAAAACAGTATACTTTCCACTAGTGATTTTGGGACTGACCTTTCCAGGGCAGTTCCTCATATGTTTTTAAGGCTGGCTTATTAAAATTAGTTGCTTACAGATGTTACAGTTAGGGTGGTGGTAGTAAGGAAATAGCTCAAATCAGTAACTGTGAAACTAAGGTAGTACCATGTATGGGGTTGAGCTGGAGAACAGAAAGCTTTTATGCACCTTAGTCAGAATTTCTCTGTTAACTTTCCAAAATCAGCTGAAAATAAAGAAGACATAGCGATAGTAGTACCTGGTATAATTCCATTTTCATTTAATGAAATAACAGCACAGATGGATTTTCCGCTTCTTTTTAGGTATCTTATTTGTTTTCAAATGACTATTAATGTTATTTTTCACTTCATGTACGGGGTGATGGAGAATGTACTTCAGATTCTACTCTTTCTTTTAAATGCAGAACAGCAGGGGAAAATAAACAACTTCCTAAATAAGTTTGGCTATATTTAAAAGAAATTACAGAAGTACTTTAATTTTTTGTTTTTAATATAAACTACTGATACAGATCGATACCTTGTTTTAGTTAATAATCCTCTGTGTTTCACATAGTCTTCCATAAGGAAATATTCTGTTGATTTTAGGGTATTGTATGTCTGTCTCAAACAGAACTCCCTTCTGATTTAAGCAGAGGTTTTTGCTAAAATATTAATAGTGTGATATAGCCCATAGTAATTTTACATTTCTTTTGTCTTTAGGAATTTACTGAGGCAAAGTTCTGCTGAAATTAAGGTCTGAATAAGGACTACCAGACTATGTCAGTAATAATACCTAGTTTTGATACAGTGCTTTTTATTCTATCTCCCAAAGCCCTTTAGGAAGAAGGAAAATATTTTTCTCATTTTGTGGAGTAGGGAGGTGAGCTGACATGCTTAGAATCATCCTGCAAACAGATGAATGACTAAAATAGTTTTGGAGCACTGTATCCATTAATGCACACGGTTCAGCTGACTGTTTGGAATTAAAATGTCTGGGTGATGTTAGTTCAGTGAATTTTGAAGAGTCTAGTGCCACGAAGAAGCCTGAGTATACAGAAGGAATCCTATTGGAAGGAAATTGTTAAATACTCTTGTTTGTGGATATGTTAGCCTGGTAATGAAATACATGTTTTAATAATTAAGTTCCCCTTATATGTTAATGTATAGATGGTTGTCGTGGTTTAGCCCCAGCCAACCACTAAGCACCACGCAGCCGCTCGCTCACTCCCCCTGCCCTGATGGGATGGGGGAGAGAATTGGAGGAGTAAGAGTGAGAAACACTCCTGGGTTGACATAAGAACAGTTTAATAATTGAAATAAAGTAAAATAGTAATGATAATAATAACAACAATATAATAATGATAATAATAATATACAAAGCAAGTGATGCACAATGCAATTGCTCACCACCCACCGACCGATACCCAGACAGCTCCCGAGCAGCGATCGCAGCTCCCCAGCCACTCCCCCCCCCAGTTTATATCCTGAGCATGACGTCATATGGTATGGAATAGCCCTTTGGTCAGTTTGGATCAACTCTTCTGGCTGTGACCCCTCCCAGTTTCTTGTGCCCCTGGCAGAGCATGGGAAGCTGACAAGTCCTTGACTAGCATAAGCACTACTTAGCAACAACTAAACCATCAGTGTGTTATCAACATTCTTCTCCTACTAAATCCAAAACACAGCACTGTGCCAGCTACTAGGAAGAAAATTAACTCTATTCTAGCCAAAACCAGGACAATGGTATACTTGTGTAGGCATATCAAAAGTGAAATTCGGCATGTAAACTCTGGAGCACAAATGAGAATTCTGTATTCAAATCACCCTGAAATACTGATGTTTTCAAATTCTGGCCTGTTACCCAGATCTGATTTTTTTTGCTTCTGTCTATGTTGGAATGGTTGAAATCTTTGTTTCTTAATGCAATTGAATTTTTGGCTTTTCAGAACATTGAACCAAACTTCACAAAGTCAGCACAGCTATTAATTTGAACATTTGAACTTGATCAGATGCAAAATAAACATAAGGTCACAAGTAGATTGTCACAGTCTGACACTTAATTATGATATGACAATGCAAACCACACATGAAACATGAGCAAATAGATTACACTAATTTAGCTCAACCAAATGAGCAAGTAAATTAAATGTAAAAGTAAATAAGGCAGGATTATTACAGGAACACCTCATACTGTGTCTGAAAGGAACCAATTTTAGGTTTTCACTTTGAAATCCATACTGTATTGAAGTTTGGATTCATGGTTGATTTAGATGTGAATTTCATTTAGTGTTGAATTTTAGTACCTTAATGGTACTTTGAAATTTGTAATCTGGTGAGATTTTTCAAGAATCTTTGTGATGTGTCTTCTCTTCTTTCCCTGTTCTATTTAATATTTTAAACCATATATTTATTTGTGAGTGTGTATCTTAATCGGAAAATATTATCAGCTGAGTGGCAAAAGCAGATGATTTATTCAGAGATTTAAGTAAGTAAATACTTACATTGTTTGCATTTCTTCAATGAAAAATTATCACCTGAAAAGATAGTTCCACATTGGCTGCAGGTATGCTTTTACAAGTGGCAATATTTCTCCTAAAAAGATGCTCAACAATTCGCTGAAGTTTTCATAGAGCCACACACCAAATAGAATGAAATAGCTTAAGCCTAATTGTAAAAAATTGGATGGAAGGTCCAGAAATCATCAGTACTCAATTACTCATCGTTTCAGACCATTCTAAGATGGTATGTTTTTAATGGAGTTTTAAAATGATACCTTGCTCCTACCAATCATGAAACTAAATGCACTGTATTAACAATCCTGCAAGAATGGCACCAGCTGATTTTAACCTTGGAAAAGAATTTTTTCATTATTCAAGAAAAGCTTGTACTGTTGGAAGTGTTACTGCAGCTGCTAGTGAATAATGTATAAATATATGCAGTACAATGCAAGAAACATGAACCTTAGCATAAAACTTAGCAGTTTTTCCTGTTGATGTATATAGAAAAGATAGCCTAGGTGCCAGATACTCATTCATTTCGCCGGAGAAACAATGAACTTTGGGGGATGGGGGACACCTAATAACTTTAATTTACTCACACTGTCTTTTCCTTTTTGCTCTTTGTACCAAGGTTCAGCCATAGAATCTCTACCAGGATTATTTGTAGGATATGATTTCAAGCAGCAGTTAAATAAAATGAAATAGTAATGACTAACATAAGATAATTTTAAAGATCTGAGTATCTTTCAAATTTTTAAAAATACTTTAAAATAGAAAATATCTATAAGGTTGCAAAATCTTGCACAAATTTCAAAGTAATACAACAAAGATTATCATGCAAGTCATTTAATGTAAAAGCAAAACACTTCTGATTCTGTTCTGCTTATGTAGCTGAATCCAAGGGCTACTGAAGCAACTATGAAGATTTCCAGTATTCAGCCAACTTTGGATCATGCCCACATTATGAATTTCAGCCGTTAGGTAGTTTTAACAATGAATCTCCAATGTCAACAGAACTGGCTTAATTTAAATGAGTGAATGTGCAAAACCAAATGAGAAAATATGGTAGGAAAAAAAGATTATTTGAAAACCTGTGTTTAACACTGACAACATAGGGAAATAGGATAGACTAAATAATACATGAAATATCAGTTGCAAATCTAAAAAGCCTAAAGGAAATACTTTAGTACATAGCTCAATTAGTACTAAACATGTACACTGTTTTAGCAAGTGTTATAGGAGTGCAAGTAGTCTGACCTCAGAAACGTTGGTTTTTACTAAAGGAAACAAAAATAATTGTTGCTGTTTCATATTTCAAAATTATTAGTATCCTTTTACCATGTAATTTGGAGGCAGATAATGACAGTAATGGAGATACTACAGGACATCTGAAGAGTACTTTTACAGCAACACTAAAGTATACTAAGCCCAGTATTAGCACTAATCAAGGAAAAAAGCAATTATAAAACATTACTTGCATGGCAGGTGTGAAGAACACATTCTTGTGGTCTACAATGTGATGCTTCCAGAATTTTTTTGGCAGAATGTTCTTAGGTAAAATATGGCAGCTTTGAAATTGCTCCAGAATATTTCACAACCATCTATAGATCTATATTTCCAGCCCGGTTCTTGATACTCTATGTTCAAAACAAATTTGTGTATACATGTGTGTATGAGCACAGGAAGCAATTTTAGGCTTCTGTTCTGATCAACTTGCTTCTGCCTTCTTTCCTAGGAAGTGTGTAGAGAGCTCTGGTGCCTCAGCAAAAGTAACCGCTGTGTTACCAACAGCATTCCAGCAGCTGAAGGTACTCTTTGCCAAACAGGGAGCATTGAAAAAGGGGTGAGTACAAATAATTTGTTCTTTTAAGAAGCAATTTATTGTTTAAAGAATACAGGAAGAAAGAACTAGAAAATTAAAGGACTTATGAGCAACTGCAGGAGTTCAAAAAAAAGAGTTGTTATTTCAGAATACCTTTGCATCCTAATGGAAGTGTCCTACAGAATTATTTCACAATTATTTTATATGTGTAAATTTTCTTTTATATAT